TTTTCATTGCTAAAATTTATTAAATATTGATTGATATTAATAATTCTTATTGTAAAAACATTAAATTATAGGCCTAAATGTGTAGCCTATATCACTTTTAAATGATAATGTTATTGTAATGAAATTAAACACACACTCTCTCTCTCTCTCTCTTCTCTCTGATTGGCATTTGCAGATATAGTTTTATATAAATCTGATAGTTTGGATTAAAGATTATAAAAATTTTTAAAGTTTTTTTATAACGAGTTCACACTAAAATAACTCCCTCTCTCTTACATTCTTCCTTTAATAATTACAATTAACTTTAAACTTCAACGATAACTTTGAACTTAACACGATTATTATAATGTTGAATTTGTCTCGAGATGTAATGTAAATAATTACTACTTCAAAGTGCTATTATAAAATTTTGTTTAGTTTTCAAGAAAAATTTCTAACAAATATTTNACAACAATCTGTCTTTATGAGACATAAATTGAATGAAAAAAGATATAACAATAAACAAATAAAAAAAAATTGCATTCTATCCACTCATTCATTCTCATTGTTTCTATTACGGTAACGTTTCTAAGTTTAATAATCCGCTAAAGTACTATATTCATTTAAAATATATTGTATTTTATATCCCGTAAACACTTAGAAACATTATTTTAAAGATGAATATTAAAAATATTTGAAAGGTTATTAATTGATAATATCATTATTATAATATAAATGGCTAAAAAATCTATTTTTAGCACGTAATCATAAGAGTTATTTCGAAATAATTATATATTTAAATACGCCTATCAATAAAAACTATGAATGATATGTGTAAAAAGAAAAATCTCTTTCATCACCAAGTTTGTAAACATCGACCGCCGACGTCATTACTGACGTAAGGCCAAAAAAAAATCAAATTACAAGATATAGGAAAAGAACTGTTAAGCGCAATTCTCGTTATAAATATGCTAATTAAAATGATTGAAAACGATCGTCTTTTACCTTTTATAGTGTATAACATCAGCGTGGCTGATGAGTCGCTCTTACGTTAATGTTATACTTTTAATTTTTGATGAATGATATGAAGGAATTTTTAAAGGTTGAAATATTCTGAAAGATGTAATCTGCCTTTATCGTTACGCAAGTGATGCAAAACAACATTGCAGTTATCATCTCAAACGCTTATGAACGGTGGGACGAAGGCGTCGCCATAATCCTTTAGGATTTCTTGGTAGTTTTCGTTTGAATGCTTGAAATGAGATTTGTTCTATGCATAACTGGGCTCTTTTTTATAACTCATGTAATTTGAATTTTTCTCCTTATCTTCAATGGTTAAAAAGTCAGTGATTGCGTGACCCCCAAAATTAGGTCAAGGTCGTCGGTGATCATTATTAAATTTCCTATTATCGATTAAATACATAGATACACTCCCATTGTAAATGTGCGTTTTTTAAAGACTTTATTAGACCTGTAAAAAGTTTTTATAAAAAGTGAATAATTTTCTCAAATTATTTTATCCTAAAATGTTTAATTACTGTCAATTAAATCTTATTTATTATTTTTATGATGATTATTTTGTTTTTAGTTATGAACACTTTTACCATGTATTTTTTACATAGACTATATTGAACTTAATAGTTAAACTAAGTTATTTTATAAAGTACTATACTTTCAATTTTTAATACATCAGATATTGGTCGGTAATGCAATAAAATTTGTTTTTATGACTATCCGTATTTTGTTCAATATTTATTACTGAGATAGCGGAGATTTTGCGATTTTATTCTATTATACTACAATTTTTCATAAATTATCTTCAATCATTCCAATGCTAAAATGTTACATTTACTTTTAAAGTTCTGAAATTTTTTAAAGTAAACTAAGGAATAGAAAATAAAATATCTCAGTATGATGATACATTGCTTTCGTGATTTAAGTTAGTAGATTTTTATTTAAATCTATAATAAAAAATAAACATTAAAGAATATAAACTTAAGTTTCAGGATTTATTTTAAATATATTTGAAGTGAATTGACTAAATTAAAAATATTTTTTCCTGTAAAAAGCTTAATAGGTTTTCATTATTAGTATTTCATAACGACTTATTAACATATAACTATCTATAGATTTAATCAATTAGTTTGATATAGTTATTACATAATATCTGTAACACTATCTTGAATAAATTAAAAAATAT